ACGACGGCGCCCCCCACTGGCGGCCGGCGACGGCTTCTGTGGTGTGGTGGGCCCTGGCGCTCCCGGTCCCGCCCGCGCAGCGCCCCCCAGTGACCCCCCGCGATGGTGCTTCCGGTGTCTGGGCCGCCCTCAGGCCGGCTGGACCCGTGTGTGGCTTGACGGCGCCCATGACTGCCTGGCTTCTGGCCAGCCCTCTCCCCTCCTGGGACCCCGTCTCTCTCAGTCGGCCTGGCCAAGCAGTTTCCTGGAGACTCTTAACCTCACCTCGGCTGGTTCCTGCACCTCCTCCTCCGGCAGCCCATTTCCATCCCTACTGGATGAGAGGGAAGCCCAACCCCAGGGGCTGACATCCAGGATTTCCAAGCGGCCCCGCTTGCCTTCCAACCTGATGACTACAGTGGGGCCTTGCCCCAGGGCACTGAAATTAAGCAGACTGATATGTTTTCGATAGTGATTTTTCAAGAGTGCAAAATTTTAAGCAGCGTCTCCCTCAGCGTCCATTCAGCAAATACCCTTCCCTTACAGATCCACCTTTTTGGGAAAGATGGTGCAGGTGAGGTTTCCATTCACAAAGAATGCGTGATGGTAACCACTGGGCCCTTTTGGGAGCAGAAGGCCACTTTATATGTTGGAACTGGGGGAACATTTTGATGGCTCAGTGACACAGATAGATAATACAATTAAAAAGTAGTGTGGGGAAATCCTGTGAAATGCTTTGGTTCAAAGTTGTTAAAATTCTAGCCTAATAAAAGATAGGGTGAAAGTTAAATCAAGTCAGGACAATCTAACTTTTGCCAGGGCCTGCTGTCTTGGGAACGACACTAGGGCTGGTCATTCAGTGCTCCAGTCTCCTGCAAGCCATATCCACCACCCTCTGGAGCCCTTAGCCACTGTGAACCTGAGGCCCACCAGGTCTGAGGGGCCCCCACGCTACCTTTCACACCGTTGGCAGGGCTCTGCCCTCACAGTCTGGCTAGCTTGGGCTTGTCCTTGCTCTTCAGAGTTTGATGGAGGCCACTGAAGCAGCCCAGGAGTTGAGGATGCAGTCACCTCACACAATCACCCAAGCAGGTACTCTGCCTTGCTCCTCCCTGCCCCTCATCATCACCCACCCCTGCCAAGGATGGAAGAGGAACCAGTCAGGTTCTGTAGGTGATATGAGGGGTTGGGAGAGGTCCACAGGTTCCGGTCCACAAGTGCAGGTCTGGTCATTGTGAGTTTCGTGGGAAGAGGCCAACCCTCATAGTAAGACCTGAGGGAAACCATTGGTCAGAGACCCAAGGAAGGGCCATGGGGGCCTGGGGATTGCTGGAGTACTGGGATGACTAAGCAGAGAGTGGGGATCACAGAATCCAGCTCTATGTTTGGCTGAAGAGGAAACTGTAGCCCAGAAAGGGAAACACATTGAGCACAAGTACAAGGAATACTGTCGGGGAGGCTTCCCTTGAGAGGACAGCCAGGTCTCTTGGGGGTGGGGAGGCTTTGAAGGGTCTGGCCAAAGTCAAGAATGATGACTTCAGTGGTACAAAGTTCAAGAGCATCTTCATTGAACTACTGAAAAAACAGTGGCTCTGGGACCCTCCCCCAGGGTACTCTGCCTGATGTCCTGTTCTCTGCCAGTCTCCACTTCTCCTGAGGATGGACAGAGAAGAAGAAACAGCCTCCTGGGGGACTGCCCTGGAAACATCACTCACAGGAGCCACAGGGAGCCCAAGGAGAGCAGCAGAATACAGCCGGTGAGGAAGACTGGGCTCAGGAAGGCGGGCCCAGCCCTACTGACGAACCTCACGTCACCGATCTGCTTTTTGATCCATTTAGTGAAGTGGGAGGTGCTGGTGTAGAGGCCCGGGAAGCGGTGCTGGTTGCAGCTAAAGCTCCAGCTCATCACCCCCATTTGAATCCAGGTTTTGTTCACTTGGCAGACAAGGGAATTGCCAGATTTACCCTGCGGAGGGAGGGAGAGAGGGAGGAAGGCATAAGGGAGGCAGCAGGAGAGCCTCCCTGCAGGTCTTGGATAAATAAACTTGCACCTTCCTCGGCCATATCCTTAGCATGAGCTGTGTTAGGCCCGTGCTGTCCCTGATAATGAGGCTATGAACCTGCTCTATGACATGGAAGCACTGCATGGGGCCCATGCTCAGGATCACACTGGCCTCTCTTCATTCTCCTGCTAACTCTCTGACCGTAACCCTGGTTCCCTCCTCTGCCCTCCCTTTAAATCATGGTGGGCCTCCAAGGTGTTGCCTTTGACTTTCTTCCTTCCTACAATCCTGCTTGCAGAATGAGCTATTTGAAATGTAACCTTGCCCCCAGCTCTTTTTGTACAAAGCAGGTATGAGAATAATATTTACAACGCATACGTCAAAAGGTAATAGCTGTTATTTCTGCTGGTGGTGGGTTTATGATTTTTTTAAAACTTACTTAAACTCTTCTGTGTTGCTGAGAAGTTTTAAAAAATCAGAAAAACAGCTTGCACCTTCCTTTCCTCTCTCTATCTCTCTGTCTCTCTCTATATATATGTATTTTAATGTAATCCAAGATTTGTAAGACATAATCTATGAAGACTGCATACATGTAGGGAAAAAATGATAAAATTATCCCTAAGAACATAAAGGAAGACCTACATGAATGTACAGATATACCGTTGTTCTTAGAGGAGGCAATTTAAAACAATGCAAAAATGTCAGTTCTCAGCATTTGGCTTCCTGCAGTATGGAAGACTAGATCTCTATCCCATCTTGTTGAAGATAACTAAACGTGATTTTTTTTTAAATTATCATTTTAAATGCATGAGTGAGCTGGCAAGAATATAAAGACTCCTCAGAGTCCAAAACCCAAGGGAGGGCTGAAACCCAGAGAGCTGTCAGCAAAGCCCAGAAGATGGCTTTTGCCCCAAAGCCATTGGCCAAACCTAGTGAAACTGAGCTTTAGTTTTCACAGCCTCATTCATGAGTGCAGGAGACAAAAGGCAAAATCCAGGGCCTGCCCAAGGAGGGAAGCCTAAGAGGAAATCTACAAAAAGCTAAACCTCCCAAAAAGGACCACACCTTCCAAGTGAGGATAAACTGAGAACCTGCCCTCATGTGAACTTGCAACTTGAATTCACACTGTCTGGGTGGTTCAAAAAACCCAGCCAGGAACGTCACTTAAAGCAGTCCTGGGTTGGTCTTGTGCCCAGGTATCTGGCAGAAGCAAATATAGATTCTGTCTGAAGGAACCCACTTTTCAAGCCACACTTTAGCAAACTCCAACAAAGAACACTCTACAGAACATGTCCTCACTCTTAAAACATCACCCTGCACACAGGGAAGTTGAGGCACCAAGAGCAGATGCCAGCCAGCAGGAAAACCAAGAGCTGCATCAGAGCCTTCACAGTTTAAGATTTGGAAACTATCACATGGAAGCCACGAAGTTTCCGGTAATGCACTATTTTGTAGGCTTGGTGGTGAAGGTATGGGCGTTGGTTGTACTATTCTTTATTCTCCACACATATTTTATAAATATTCTTTTATCTATTCAATAGAGGGTAATACAATAAAAAATCATAACAATGTCAGTTCTCCTTACGTTGACCTCTAAAGTTCAAGCAATTCCAGCAGGATTTTTTCAGGACCCTGACAGTCTGATTCTAGAACTGATATTGAAGGATAATAATAGTCCATGAATTCTTGGAACTTCGTAGCTTTGTTACTTGAAGTAGAATAAACGTCTACAGAAGGTTAAAAAAAAAAGTCCACGAATTCTATGACAGGTTTGAGAGAAAAACAAAGAGTAAATGGAGAGGTTGGGGGCTTGAGATACATCTAACCAGAGAGTTAGAAATATTTCCAAGCTGTAATTATAGAAACCATGATATTAGCATAGAAACAGAAAAACAGACCACTGGGGCAATAGAAAGCCAGCCTGATGCCTCCAGGTGAGGAGACTTGCCCCAGAAAGGGTAATGTCTATGGGAAAGGAGGTCTCTGTTATAGATGGTAGGGAAAGTGATGGAGAAAAGTGAAGTTGATTCCAACCATAACAAAACTCCAGAGGAAATAAAACTCAAAATGTGAAAAGTTAGAAAGACAAGCTAATTAAAAACACAGGGCCATGACTGTATGACTTGGGATGAAGCCTATGTTTTAAAATAAGATCGAAACTCACAAACCTCAAGAGGGTAAAGGTGTTAGTCTTAATTACATCATAATTAAAAATATCTGTTCTGTGAAGGACACCAAATCTCATTGAAGATAGATGATGAATTAAGATAGGACACTTGCTCTGTCTAAAACCAACCAGAGGTCAATGTTTAACATATCTAGGGAAATCCTGAAAATCAGCAAGTAGAGAAAGAGAATTGAGGGAGATCTGAGGGTTTCCATGTCTAGGCGATTACCCAGTTGCCAGCTCCCAGTGCCCAGACCCCCATGCTCCAGGAGTACCAGAGGAAGGAGATGGAGTGGCGCTTGGTGCAGTTTAAATCAAATCCATTTTTAAATAGAGACTTATAATATGACAAGGTATTTAATAACTGAAACTAACTGAAAATAATGGGCTTTACCCAAAATGATGTTTGGAGAACAGAGGAAGATTTGACATAGGGCATGTGGGGGTGATGACTTGAAAGAATAAAACCGTTTAATGTGAATTCTCTAACAAACTGAGATTCCACAACAAACAAATACAGTAGGGGAATGTAGCACAATATCATTTATGCAAATTAAAATACACATATAGCAACACTATGTATTTTTCAAAGACACAGACATCTTTAAAGCTATCTATTAAACAGATTTCAGTAGGTGCCTTTTGTAGGGACAGAAAATGGAAGATGAAGGGGAAAATCAAGCCAGTGATAATCAAGACAGTAATGACAGTGTGTAGGTCCTTACCTGAGAGATATGGTTGACGGGACTCTGGGAATCCAGAGAAAAAGAGAAGTCAGAGAGAGGGGGAGAGAAAATAGAAGAGAGAGAGAAAGATCTCCTATGTGGACATTCTCTTACCACAGTGAAATAAAACCAGAACGCAATAACAAAATGTGAACCACCTCATCAACAGAAAAAAAAAAACTTTCAAAAGTGTTAAGGAAAAACAAAATTAAAATCTACAGCTAGAGTGTAGAAAGATAAGAATTCCATATATTGCAGAGCCCATGGGATATGGGCCTGAATTGCACACAGAAGAGTCTTGGTCTAAATACTTTTAATATCAAGAAAGAATGAAAATAAGTTATTTTTATTGTCAATTATTTATCACTGCACATTCAGCTGAAGACGCTTGAAAAAGAATAAAGACACAAAGCAGATGTCATGTGTTAGAAAACAGAAAAATCATAGACTTGAGGGAAAAAAATCAGTAAGAGGATAGATAAGCACCTTCTAAGTCCTACCAAGAAAAACTGAAAGAGAAGGAAAATGCAAATACTTTGTGGTATGAGTAGAAAAGAGACTAGAATCACATCCAGGGAAAATACGCTTTCTCAGAATCTGAAGAATGTTTATAACTCCCTCTTTATGGATTTAAATTCTGGCTGAAATGAATAATGCCCAAGAAAACACAAACCATAAGGCCAATAACCATGGACAAAACAGATTAAAATATTGCCCAAGAACTACTCCTTCAAAGGAAAACAGGCCTATAGGGTTTCACAGGCAACTTCCATCCAGTGTTCAAGGAGCAGATAATTTATGTTATATCAAATGTTCCAGAGCACAGACTAAGCTTCTAAGTGAAGCATAGTCCTGATTCTGCAACTTAACAAAGGGGGTGCCTTCCTCAACACACCTTAAATGGAGCCCAGCTTCACTGGAGGAAAACAGAACGCAAAGGTTGCTTGGATTGTGTCTCACAGGACTGCTGTTCCTGGGCCAGTACCTCTCCTGGGCCGTGCATCAGCACTGTCCTGTGCCTGGCCCAGGGCCCAGAACAGGGTGTCTGTTGGATGAACAAATAAATTAAACATGTTCTTAAAAAAGGTATCATTAATCTGAATTCAACAGATGAATGAAATCAAAGCATACCATGACCAGGGAGGGCCAATCCTGGCTGGCAGGGTAAATGGACATGAGGAATCTGTTCATGGAACCAACTCAGCACATTGAGTTAAAGAGTAGAGTCATCTTGATAGCTGCAGAGAACACATTTTATGAAGCAAGGCATTCTTTCCCCAAATCAAATGCCACAGTGAAACTGAAAGGAACGGCTCTCTCCCTGACAGATGATGTGCCACATCAGCACTGAGCTTCGTGGCGAAGTGTGGGAAGCACTCCGAGGAAGGTCAGCAACAAGGAAAAGCAGAGCTACAATTCCAGGTTGCTTTGGGGGAGTGGTACCCAAAATAATGAAAAAAGTAAAAATCATGAAAATTAAAGAGGCAAAATCATCATGAACTGCAGCTCCTATATGGGTATACACCTGGAAAGCCCAAGAGAGCCAACTGAAAACTCTTGGATATAATAAAAGGGTTCGGTGAGTGAGCTGAACTCCCAGATGTTTTCAACAAGAGGATGAGTCTGGGGGATGAAAATGAAGCAAGAGAAAAGGAAGGAAAGTTCTTGTCCTGCTAAGGAGGAAACTGTAGACACTGATTAACTCTAGATATTAAGTCAAGTTTAAATGCGTGTGTGGAAAATATCAGGTGACCAGCAGTAGAATGACACTGAGATATGACAACTTCTAAACCAGTACAGGGGAAAAGTGGAGTGGAAAAAAAAATCAAACCAATACGTAAAGTGAGGGGTTAAAAAAGCATTCTTCTTGGTAAATAGATTAAAGGAAAGCCTCCCAAATATGTTGGAAAATATAGTATTCACCATTACACTGTTTATAAGAGACATACCTAAAACAAGTTAGCACAGTGTCTCCTGGAAAGACAGAGTAATTGTTCTGGAATATGATTCTTGATATTGCGATAAACAAGAAAAAGAAATAAGAGGCATATATATTGAAAAGTAGGAGACA